ATATATATGAATCTATAAACATATTCAAAAGGCTTGACATATAATGTTACATGATCATATGTGATTTTACCATGAGTACAGCAGTCTTGAACACAGCTTGCATCGCCAGGTCAGTGACCGTACAACAACTAAATAGTGATTAATTTCACCATGATAGTAAACTTACTGGTATGTCGGTGCTGTAGCTGTCAAGTATAGGAAGACATCGTAGTCTCTCTTCTTAGGGGATACGTATTTGCCGAATTGCTTATTATCGATTGGAATGATGTTACCCGTCGCTTGGTTTCTGAGTGCCTCGAGCTCAGTAGCTTTAGCGCTGAACTCTGCACTGGCAGGGGTTAAAAGACATGCTAGTGCCGCTAACCCTACAGTGAATGTTGCTCGGAGACCCAACATGCTCACACGCCTACAGAGTATGCTTGTGCTGTGTGGATGTTTAGATAGACCTGTTATGCTGTTCTATTGTTTGTTTACACTATGTATGTATTTTACCCCCACAGTTGCATGGATTTTTTCCAAGAAGTTTTCATATTTATATAAATATTCGCGCTGAAAAGTCAAAATATTGGCCCTGTTTTAGGCCCTATTTTCCGACTGATACGAGAGCTGAATATCTGTGGACGTTCGGTACATACATAAAAATCAATGACTAAAGTCTGCTCTTCTTGTTTGCTCTAGCAAGTACTCTTGACCAATCACACTAACGATTTACGTTTTATAATCTTACTTGGATCTGTGAGGCTAGCCTGTGTGACGGTGATAGCCCAGGCCCCAGTGCCATACACTCAACATTCCCCTTAACTTTCTACTGGCCAGTCACAGTGCAAAGACTCTATGGTGCACTGTGCCGTGCGTCTGTGCAGCTACAGCAAGTCAGCAACGTATCCGTATCCGTACAGCATTGGGTACAGAACCGAGAACTGAACTCCCTACTCTCTAGAAAGTTAGCCTCCCGTAAAAAAGAAACAATGACTTGTGTTATGTAAATACTATAAATAATAATATCACTAGAAGGTTCCGCCGTATCCCGGTTGAAGCGGACAACAACCGCCTCTCTTGATATAAATATAAGAGCATTTCGTCATTTATATTACGAGAAATTAGCTGGCACTTCACTGTAATCACACACACCCATTGCACAACAACCTAAATTAGATTAGAACCGATCCTTAAAGAGCCATAGCGTACGGTGCAGAGTATATAAATACCATTTCTTATACAGTCACACTTCGTATTTTTATTTAGCTACACATAGTAACACACATCATGTTATCAATAGCACATCTCAGGACAGGAGTTAACTGCCGAGCTTGGCGATTCGCTCCTACAGCAGCACAGTTGGGTAGGAGAGCATGGTCATCGGTATGCTTGTTCACTTTGTGCCACCCCAGTACCTTGCATTACTGTTTTTGATTTCCTTTCGTGTGGAATACACCGGTACATTGTATCTCATTTTATATTGGACTCATAAATATTGGTATGATCATCAGCAATTTGTCGGAAAACTCATGTCTATCACCGCAATCTAAGTATAGACAAGTACAACTATAATTATATAATTATATAACTATAA